TTTTTTTCCCTTTTTTTTCCTTTTTTTTTGGGGGGGGGAACTGAAGGGATTTATATTTGTTATCAAGAACATAACTCTTTCGACCTTTGCAAAAATATCTCCGTCTTTGCAGCTAAAACTTTGTCACTCAAATTTCCACATAAGCCTTTCCAAAGCATGTCTCTTAGATTAGTTTATGACTCAATGAAATGGCTTTTCCCTAGCTTAACCTGAGAACAGACAGGAGGATCATGTAATTTCCTCTCCCTCTCTATGGGTATATGTACGTACATATATATTACACACACACATATGTATACAATAATCAAAAATGCTGCTATGCGATGGTATGGGGAAAGGCTACCATAGCAGTATGTGGAGCCTCACCATCCCTCTCTACCAAAAATACCATTACTTATGCTCTGTTTTGTCTACTACACACACATGCTAGAACACATGTACACTCACGTGTATGTGTGTCTAGGTATTTGCATCCAAGATCTAATTACTACTGTTCAGAAACATCATGAATGATGAAGAAACAATACCAAAACTCTTTGGAGAAGACATTAAAAACATTTTTGCTTACTGTTAAAATAGTTGGGGTCACAAATGCCCAACAGACTCTCCAGAATTTACTTGGCTGGAATCCAATCATCATTTCTATGTCTTCACAAAATCTTTGCAACCCTGTAAATAGCAAATGTAAATGCAATTAGGTGTGAAAGAAACCAGCTGCAATTTGCAACATAGCTCTTGTGACCTCCCTTGTGTCTAATTACAAAAACAAACTCTGACTTGTTGGTTGAAAATGTCGATGGAGGATCTAACCACACAGTAAAAAATGAGACTGTTATGGTGGGAACTATCCTATGAAAATATTTACTTCCTAAGGATTAAAGCAAAATTGAGCTTTTACATAGAGCTTAAGTGTTCAGCATGTTTTGGGTTAAAGCATGAATAGCACGTACTGGTTAGCTGCAATTATGTGTATACTTGTTATATTTCACTGTGAAGAACCACCTTCTTAATATCTGTATACCTGTTTCAGCATAGACGGTATCCGAGCTTCTCTATACCTACTACGTGACTGGGGTACAACTGTATCACTTAGCATTGAAGCTGATAATGTCCTGTTATCTTTGATAACTGATATGTAAGCAATACTTAGAAATATTAGAGAGCACCTGTAAATATTTTAAATTATATCCAATGTTGTTTGAACAAACAGAGCGACTGACATGGTAATTCTTCAGCTTATTGTATTGATTGCATCTATAAAGTTACTTGAATTAGTAAAACACGCAAGATCGGAAAACAGTATTTCAGTCGTCTCTGCAGGTATCTCCCTGGCCATGCCATGCGACTGGAAAAAGTGTGCTGGCCCAGCGGCTGCTATTGCCCATCTGAGAAAAGCCGCTCTGCTTTTCAGCCTTGCTCTGCAGAGCTGTTTAGGTAAATGGCCCCTACTCGGTACAGCTATTAGTAATTTATCCAAAAGTAATAAAAACAAAACTGAAATTTGTTCCAGCTTCTCTAATGACGATAAGAAGAGGGAGGTCTGGGGCCCAAGGCTGAGCTCATCTGCCATAGAATCATAAATGGTTTGGGTTGGAAGGGACTTTAGAGATCATCTCCTTCCAACCCCCGTGCCATGGGCAGGGACACCTTCCACTAGACCAGGTTGCTCAAAGCCCCATCCAACCTGGTCTTGGACACTTCCAGGGATGGGGCAAATCTGGGCAACCTGTTCCCGTGCCTCACCACCCTCAGAGTGAAGAACTGCCACACAAACATTTCAAATTTGGGCCGATTTTATCTAATAAAGCAGGTGTTCGTCTCTGTCATTTAAATTTTACAAAGCATTATTCTACAGCATTTAGTCTAACTTTTATGATGTGGGGACAGGGATGGAGCTTAAATATCGGAGAGAAGTCATTGAGTACAGGAAGAAATGCTTGGAACAAAAGTAATAAACTGCTTTATGTTCTTATCGCCCTTATGGCCAGCCACTGCAGCTGCTGAATGTGAGGAGGGATATAATCCCCAGGCTTGATCCATCTAATTTTGAAGCCTTTCTGATGATATCAAGGAGAAATAAATCTATCCACCTGACTGTTCCAAGAATTAAGAAGGTAAAATATAGCAACGGTTCATTATTCAGTGTCTTCTGACGCACCTCTAAGGAAGCGGCAGGGCTAGATGAGACTAGGGCAGCCCCAAAGGCCCCGCTCAGAGGGTCAGCCCAGAGCGAGCCAGTCCAGGCAGACAGCATGGCAGGGAAAAGCTAAAAAACTGTGTTATGATAAGAGATAGAGAAGAAAAATTCACCTATTAAACAAGAAGATGGTATTGCAAGAACTGTATTTAGGGGAGGAGAAAAGTATAACCTGCAGCGGATGTGAGCTTAGAAAACTAACCCAAGGTGACACAGATGTCACATTTTTTTCCTGTAACTGTAATTTCTCCCCCTCTTTTTCTCTTTTCCACAGACTATAGCAAACGCTCTTCTTCAGAAAGCCTCTTCTCTGTAAAATACATGTAATTTTTACAACCCATGGAATCACCGTACTTCAGCACCCGTCATGTGCTTCTCCATTTCGTAATAGAGCTTTGTATGCCTGGACTGACCGCAACCCCCAGGGTCACTGTGTTACGGACCCGAAAGGAGATCTTTGCTGCAACTGAACAATTTCCCCCTGTGTTTTATTTACCTGCTTATTAGAGTTCAGCGCACCATCTGCAGCGAGCTGCTTGGGAGATGCTCACACAGCGGTCATCCCTGCAGCGCGCTATGGTGGGAACAAAACTAGTTTTAAACTAGCCGCAGCAGCACAAGGTGCGGGCTGAAGGGTCTTTCCCCAAAGTTTTAAGCTCGTCTGAGTGTCTCTACTTCAGCCACACTTGCTGCTGCAAAGGAGTTATACCTAACTGGATAGTTACCAGGGGCTTCTGCCTCCAAAATTCATGCAAGCTTCATGCAAATCTGCACAGATTTGTTTGAAACTCTGATTAAAAACTTTATTTCCTTCCTGGAATCGTCAGTAGATATTCACAGCTTCAGGCACTTTTAAATATTAGCAGTTCAGGAGTCAAATGCATGTAAACAGATACAGGAATTACACAGTACTCATCTCTTTCCTGGTGAAAGACTGAAAATAGGTTTGTCAAGTTCCACAGAAAAACGCAAAGGATGCTTTAGTTAACAGAAAGCCGATTAAATCTCAGTATATCTCGTCTCCCTCTCAGATCAGTCAGGCCTGCTGAATAACTTTGGGAAACAAACAATACATGATATTCCATATCTCAATTTCCACTCTCTAAAGTAGGATGATGTATTCCTAAGTGCTGCAGATAAAAAATCCATTAAAAAGGAGAATGCAAACCGAGACAGACAGCTACTTCAATATTCTGCTGCAGGTAAAATGTTCAAAATTACTAACGCTTTCTACAAATACACTGCAGCAGTTACCACTCGCTCTGACGACAAACCTTCCCAACAACAGACTGTCAAAAAACAAATCTAGAAGGAGCAGGAGTGAAGTTAGGGTCATACATTTTCAGTTTCCAACAGTGTTTCGCTCAAGCACAAGGATCTTTGTATTTAGCTCCACGTTACAAAATGCAACAGTGAGAATTATGCTGATGATTGAATTAATACTCGCAGCTCTAAGCTATTCTTTACCAATTATGCATCATAATCTAACAACTGGAGAATAAACATCTATACCAGCATGTGAAATAAAAAACAGCATTTGACTGGATTACGTAGCACTGACTCTGCTGAAAAATAAATGATTGCAAGGAAATAACCAGGTGTGCCTCTCTTTAATTTAAAAATCTCAACAAGCTCAGCAAGCAGAACATGTAACAAGAACTAAAGACAGATTTATTTCATCATAAAAGCACCTGCAGTTGTGCCAACCTGCTTGCTATGAAGAGTACAGGCATAGAGAGAAAGGTGTCAGTGGAGTGTGAAACGGCAATTGTCAGAGCTTGAAAATATATTATGCCAATTTTAAGCACTGCTTGAAGGAATATAACAAAAGCAGCGGCTTCACTGGTATTTACAACATGCAAATCACAAATATACAAGCTGTATTCCTATGAACAGTCCTTAGAAAAGTAGCTTTAATGCAACAGAAGTAGCTATGATACATTAGTCAAGCAGATAATGATTGTAAAGTAAATCTTTCTTTTTTCGTGCTAAAAAACTGGAAGCTCTTTAGTCTAGCAAAAGGTTAATTCCAGGGAATAATCTTTGAAATTGTTTATATCAAAGGCTTTACTACATCTGTTGATTAACAATCAGTTGGTACAGAAAGCACGGAAAGAATGATTTGTAATCGGCAGATCTTTTCCAAGTCTGATTACATTAAAGTAATAGGTACCTAAAAAAAAAGTTCTTTATTCAAGTCCTTCTTTGCAGTGCTATAACTATTTCTGTATTATTTTATGTTTTGCATAAACGTTAGTGTTTTAAGGGATACTGAATTTGTTGGGCAAAGCAGGCACTAACCAGAGCAATTTTGCTGACCAGCCTAGTAACATGTTGTTCCACAAAGGCAGGTTTGTCGTGCTTCTGCCACACAGTGTTCAGAGGAGGAACAGAGCCAGTATTTGCTCCCTATTTACTTCCATCCTTATTTGAAAACATACAGAACAAAGAAATTCTACAGATTTAAGTAGTTTTGGGGTTATTTAAAAATATTCTAAGCAAGGAATTTTTATCTTGTACAATGATGGCGATGGCTTTAAAGGGGGCAATCTTTTTGGCACAGACCGGGTGATGCCGTAGGTACTGCTGGAAGAGTGACAACGTCTAGTGCTTCAGCACAGCGTTCTTCAGGCATGCTCCTAGCAAACAGAGGAGGAGGAAGAAGGGAAAAAACCCCAATAAACCCTTATACTCTTCTTGAGCATTCCCACTCACCATCTCTTATGGAATTGTATTGATTTTAGGGAAGTTGGGAAATTGGTCAGCACGATAACCAGACGCTAATGTCTCAGATGACAGGTACCCCGTGGTGTTGCCACAGGAGCGGGTAAATGCTAACCCTGGTGGTAACGGGGGGGAGGGAATGGGCAAACCTTCCACGTCTTCATGGAAACTGAAGCACAGAGCAATGGCACAACTTGCCAGCATTGATTTTCAAACCAGGAGTTCTGCTCAATAATCCCCCAAATCCGTCTTTCGACTTCAGGAGCTATCTCAAAGCATTACGCTCAGGTCCTTCGAGAACACCGGTTGAATGTACAGCTGATAGCAGTTACCAATATCATTTCACTCACAGAGATTACACTTCTAAACCAACTCTAATTAAAATACTTACATTTCAGGGACATAAAAAACAACGAGCATTTTGATCCATCAAAACACAATCGGTCTAAATCAACTTTTCTCTTGGTGTTTTAACTTTTTCCATTGTATTCTGTAACATTTCCTCATTAGGTCAGATCTGACAAACCACTCAAGCCTGCTCACTGGATGAGATGTCAGCGGAGATAAAATACACTTCTGTATTTCCATGAAATTAGAGAAAACAAGGAAGGGTTGATTCCCTGTCCTGCCTATAACTTTCATTTCTCAAGCAAGAGCAACAAATTCTGCATGTTTTGAATTACGTACAATTTTTGAACGCATTTATATTGCACAGAGTGGACCCCACAATGTAGGTAGATCTAAGTAACCAGTGCACAGGACTAGAGCCCAAGATCATGCTGCTAACATGCACCTTCAGCAGAACATCTCGGGATTGTTTATGTCTAGCTGATGGAAAACATATTATTCATTCCTGTCCATAGCAACAAGGAAACAGCCTTATCTTTAACACTGAGATTCAGATCTTCCTTTGCTTTTGAAGACAGGTCTTAAGCGGCACCACCACGCTCCAGACATAAATTAATCATCTGTTATGCAGGGAGATCTTCACATTGCCTACTTTAACCATCTGAGATTACACATTGCCAAGAATCAATCTCCTGGACAAGTCTGGGAGCAAATCACCAGCTGGTATCAACTGACGTAGCTACAGTAGCATCAAGGTAATTGCACCGCTTTATACTGGCTGAGGATCTTCCTCATAATTTAATGTACGTCAACATGGATCAATGTAACTGGTGTTAATTAATCACTCTGAGCAGCTGCAGTCTTGATTCTGTGTTACAGATGGCTTAAAGGGAAGGCTGGATGTGTACATGAAAAATAAATCCTTCAAAAGTTATTAAATGCAAAGATACCACCTCTGGCTCAGGAAGTCTCTGAGCCTAAAACTGTTGCAGTGTGAAAGAGCCCCTGGAGAAGTGTCACGAAATGCTTGGACTATTCTTACACTCATCTCTAAGCATTGGCTTTAAGCTACTGGTGGAAAAGGGACATTAGACTATATGAAAGTCTTTTGAATAAATATATTTAAAGGAATCCTGTAGTAATGAAGTCTCATTATGCTTCTGTTCAAAATAAGGAAATCCTGAGGCTTTTTATTAAAAAAAAAACTAAAATAAAGTATTACTCCTTTCCTTAAGAATTTCATGTTACCAGCTACTTTACCATATGCTAAAATGTTACTTTGACATAGGCTGTCCAATAACGGGTTTTTTTCTTACCATATATATAGGAAACTCCAACAAGTTCGAAGATGGCAATGATGACCAGAGAATAAGAAGCTGCGTAAGTGTCCACAAGCTGTAACATATACATTCCACCCTAAAGAAAAACGGAGAAAATAGCCATTACTTGTGGCACATAGCTGGTCTCTCTTTTCATACCTGCCACAACTCTAACTGGCGCTAAGGCAGGACAGGAGCAGGACCCAGGACTCTCCATCCCAAGTAAGCATCCAAACATTGACCGGACACAGGCTCAAGCCACACTATAGTTTCTTCCTTGTGGCTGAATGAACACCAAATCCAACGAGAAAAAAGCAGAGGGTACACCTGAGTCTGGTAGCTAACACACCTCGGGAAGACATTGGTTTCAGTCCTTTCAGACTAAGGACTGAACTGCAACGAGACCTTCCACCAGCAGTGTCTCTAACCCTTTAATACTACGTCAAAAGCAAAACCACCTTTGAAACCAGGAATACTGTAATAGCGAGCCCAGGTCATCTCTTTGGAAAGGATATAATGCCCTATCTTCAGGGCAGAGGTTAAGCAGTGTAATTCAAGGGAAGGAAGGACCGAATCTATCCTAGGCTTTGGAACAGCAAAGTTGGGCTGCTAGGTGATGAGGCGAGGGGAAAGAAAGAAAAAGGGGGGAAAAAGGATAAATAATAAGATAGATTTGTGCACCTCCTCTTGAAATTGCTGAGAGATTATAATGCTGGAGGAATTAGTGAACAAAAGACGCTGAAGACTATCAACGATAGATGAGAATTTCATTATTAACTCCACAGTTTGCTAAGACTATCGGTGTATATCTAATCTGGGAAGGAAGGCACCCAAAACTGGTGTGCACGTTTACATGACATACAAACTTCTTTTTGAAATGAATACCTAACTTACATGAGTACTTTGGAGATGTTTGGCTAGGGGTAAATTTTAGAAGTCTGATTCTCAGAAAGACTTGAACAGCAAAGTCTTTTAAAGGTATCTCAGACAGAGCATCCATTAAAAAAAAAAAAAAAAAAAAAGGCTTTCAGCCTCACCCGGTGGCTTCGCGCAGGCGGCAGAATTCAGCTTAACCTTTTGCAACTTGCGCAGGAGGAGAACGGCCACCAGAGGGGGGTTGGGGACAGACAGCGATGCTCAACGACAATATTATTACCTGAGTGATCATAGGAAATCCCATGATGAAAAAGGAGATGCAGCACCCAAGAGTGAACAGTGCCTTGTGCGTACGTAAGTATTTGGGGAACTCATCCGAAACGGAGGTCACGATAGTCTCGATAGTGGCAAACTGAAAGACAAAATAAAAGGATTCATTTCAGCACACAGAATGTACACGAAGTGGTCCAACTGGATATAATGGAATATGAGAGAGAGTATTTCAAATCCTAGGTGTTAAATGCTCAGATGTCAAGGCCAAAGCTTCACCCAAATGATTTCAGCATTGACAGCCTTACTTCATTCCTCTTTTTGGAAAACGGTTCACTGACCACATGGAAAATAGCGATTAATCTCATGGTCCTCCAAACCAATAAATAGGAAAAGCAAGAGGAAAAGAATGGGATACAAAAGCAGTTTACCATAGTGTCCAATCCAAGTGTCAGAAGCATCAAAAAGAATATGATAGCCCAGAACGGAGAGAGGGGAAGCCTCGTTAAGGCTTCTGGGTAAACCACGAAAGCAATTCCAGGACCTAGAAATGAGAAAAATAAAGGCTGTGATATCTTGCATCGCATTAACTTTGTTGACTGAATGGAAAAGAGGGAGACGTGAAGAGTCACGTTTCAAAGTCTAATACAATATTACTTCACTTGATAAAAGTAAAAAAGCTCCGATTCAGTCTCTCCTATTTACAGAAAGATTTAACCATTGCAGAATTTAGCCTCACATTTTCTAATTTCTATTTTGGCTGTAAGGTTCAAAACACTCATATGCTCCTACTTTCCAAGCTAAAGAATACATATTTAACCAGTATACTGATATGCTGATCCAAACATGAAAAATAAACAAAAATCATGTACTGCAGCTATGCTTCTTTCCTGCTCTGTGATCAAATTCCTACCACTGTTCCTGCCAATTAGCAACCCAGCCTTAGATCAACCCAGCGATCACCCACACCGCAGTACTGCAAGTACAAACGGAAAAGAAAATACTCTTCTTTAACTCATCAGCACACAACCAAATGAGAAGGCGAGAACATAACAGATGCACAGAGCTGATACCAGCCACAAGGCAATAACTACCGTGAATCTAAAAAAATCCACAAGAAATTCTGAAATAATGCACAGCAGAAAAAAATAAGGAATAGGGTCTTTTAAAGCTTTAACCAGGAATTTTCCTTTCTCTGTTGGTTTGGTATCTTGGGCTATAATTTTTATTGTCTGTAAAGAAAAAAAATTTTTACAAGTATGCTTATATTTGCCTGGGAGAAGAGGCTGCAGGAGTGTGGTGGCAGCATTACAGTAGATGGCACTTCTTCTCTACTTATCCCAGCGAAAGGAGCGCCCACTTCAAACGCTCTGAAGGATGTTTTCTGTCAGGCGAGATACAAATGAGAGCCAAGTTGTACCGGTGCCATGACCCATGCCACAAGAAGGGGCTCCTACTCGCTCCGTCCTGGCTATTTCTAATCTAGATTATTGCATCCCATTTCCTACAGCTCCCCACGCTGTTTCTGTTCGAGAGAGAACTGTTGCTTTCTCACGTACTGAGAAAAACACCGTTTTAGCAGCATGTGAAATAATCTCCACAGGCAACTTGTGACGTGTTTGGAGTTCCTTCTGAACAAAAGACAAATACAAGAGTTAATAACAGAAAAAAAAAAAAAACAAACAAAAAAAAACCCCACACCACTGTGCATGACTCAGTAAGTGTTGCTGCCTTTAAAATGTGCTGCAGAAAAATGGCTTTTTGGAATAGGAAGGTGCATGTAGAACTGGTATGTATTCACGAACACGTTCTTTCATCTCTCGAGTAAAGATTTCTTCTTGACTATTAGAGCTAAGGGCTCTGTTTGCACTAGCTTCCTGCATGTAGAAGTTTAATTAAGTCTCGGAATAATGAGTTCCCGTTAATCACACTTTCAGGAGAAGTTTAATTACAGAATATGAAACTGTACATACATCTCTCCATCGCGGCCCCTCATAACTCTCCAAGAGACCACGTGCCTGGTAGCATCCCACCACAGGTGAAGAGTCACAGGGAGGCTGGCTCCCATCCTCTCCATCTTCAGAGACTTAAGTGGGTATGAACTCTTTCTAAAAGACTGTTAAAGCCAGGAAAATTCCAAAGGTTTTATATGTGTTGAAACAAAAAAAGTCAAACGACCTTGAACTTTCATTTTAAATTACTAAAATTTTTCAACTGCATTATGTTCTTAATCAAACCGCGAGAGTAGAATGAAAATAGGTTGTCCTGTCTTTCCCTCAGTGAAAAGTGCTTTATTTGTTCATCAGGTATATGAGTTTTTCCTGAAAGGAAGACTCTAAATGAGAAAAATACTATGTGTTTCAGATTTATATTTTAGGAGGGTGAAAAAAAAAAAAATCCCTTCCCATTTCCCTTAACAACTTCATTCAAGGTTTGAAAAACCTGAAGGGAGATCGTAATAATTTTTGCTGTTTTCTCCTTCGCTGCAAAAAGAAACACAACTTTAGAATAATAAAAGGTAGGCAGGGACAAGGGCTGGCTCTTTTCCCCACTCGCTGAGTCTGCTTTTTAATTCTGTTAATTCACTGTGCTAACTCAGTCTGCAGTTATCCCTAATCTTCACTCTCTTCTTACCGTACAGTCGTCTTCTCGTATGGGACTAAACTGTGTTTCCCCCATCATAGAGAACAGTGAAGTCTCACCCTTGGGAAGTATTTTTAGATGGCCTAAACGGGCTCTTACAAATGCACTGACAGCCCTACAATAAGATTCTCATGACAGTTTTTTTTCACATCCCCTGGCACAGCTGCTCAAACAGCTGGGAACAGAGAGCTCCAGCCTGTGACCAGTCGCTCACTCAAAGATCACCAACAAGCACCCAACAGAAAAGGGTTTGCCGTCCCCTGCGCTAAATATTTTGCCACCTCCAGGGAGATGAACCAGCCGAACCAAGTGTTTCCTCCACCACTGCTAGCAGCTCTGTCTCTCCGTCCCCGCTCTGTCCATCCCTGGGTAGCTTCTGCTGCAGCTTCACTCAAGCACGGCTTCTTCGACTCTAACTCCTTACAAATCATTTTGGTGAGTACAGTCTGGTTTAGATTTGGGGGTTGGTTTTGTTTGTTTGTTTGTTTCAGGATGGAGGTAAAGTCTAAAATAAAGAGATTAACGGAAACGTTACTCCTAAAACATCTGGCCTCAAACAGAGTTTTTCAAACATAGTGGTCTAATCCAGCCAGAAAACAGGGATGAGAATGAAACTTTTCTGTTCCCGCTTAGCTGAATGGCAGACCAAAAAGAAGAGACAAGGCACTGAAGACTGAATTGATATTACATTAGCTTGCAAGTGCAGTATCTCCTACTACTTCACATGGACCAAGACATGGACCTGTTGGAGCGGGTCCAGAGGAGGCCACAGAAATGATCAGGGGGATGGAACGCCTCTCCTGTGAAGAAAGGCTGAGAGAGTTGGGGTTGTTCAGCCTGGAGAAGAGAAGGCTCCAGGGGGACCTGATTGCAGCCTTCCAGTACTTAAAGGGGGCTTATAACAAAGATGGGGACAGACTTTTTAGCAGGGCCTGTAGCAATAGGGCAAGAGGAAATGGTTTTAAACTAAAAGAGGGTAGATTCAGAGTAGATATGAGGAAGAGATTTTTTGCAATGAGGGTGGTGAAACCCTGGCACAAGTTGCCCAGAGAGGTGGTAGATGCCCCAGCCCTGGGAACATTCAAGGTCAGGTTGGACGGGGCTCTGAGCAACCTGCTCTAGTTGAAGATGTCCCTGCCCATGGCAGGGGGGTTGGACTAGATGACCTCTAATGGTCCCTTCCAACCCAAACCACTCTATGATTCTACTTGCTATCTAGAAACAGTTTGCTGGCTGACCATCCTATGAAATTCTCCTCTCAGACCCTCCAGCTCAATCTGCAGCCCATCCCACCACAGGCCAACTGGTGCAAGCCCCAGACTAACTCACTCCCTGTGACTGAACTGCAGCTCACAAGCTTCCCCTCACCTCAACATCTGGGCTGCCATGTACCAAAGGAGCTGCAGAAACTGAATGTGACCCAGCACCCTTATTTGCATCTCGCTGAGGTCAGAAGTGCTGCAAATTCGGTGGGATTATCCATGTTTCAGTTTACAGAGAAGGAATAGGCAAAAGGAAACTAAAAGCCTTTTCTTTTTTTTAACCTCTTAACCAGCAGCAAGATCTTGTTCCCTCTTCTGTTCTCCTCCTTTCAATTCTAGTAGCTTGTTTCTAATAAACGATCAGAAACATTAGAGTTCTGAGAAAAGCTATTTTTCAAGAAAAAATAACGTTTCATCTGCTTCACCAGCTCTTGTTCCTACAACTACAGGATTTCTGTCTCCCCAGCTCATGCTGTCTGTTTTCCATTTAGCTTCCACAACATTGTTAAATGCAGATTAACCTTCATACCTAAGTTGTCCAGAATGACCTATGAATATTACTGTACAGAAACTATGGAAAGTTGTCTTGATTTCTATTCCCTATTGTCAACTCACTGCTACAATTTCTGAGTCACGATGCTCAGTCAGTCAGGTACCTCAGGCTACATGGAGCACCTTGTGGCATTGAATTTATCCACACAACAAACCTGCCAGAAAAACGTTTAGTGTCTTCACATTAATGCAGACAGTGAGACACATCACGTATAGAAGCCATGAGTATGCAACATTCATTTTTTTTTTAACTCTGCTGTCCTTTTCCCATTCAGAGCCTCCTCTTCCTCTGTGCTATTGTGGGTTTGGGGGGATAACATTGGGAACCATCCCCATGGCTCACGGAGAAGCTATTAATCACTTTTCTTCAGTGCTTGGAAAGGACTGTATCTGTGCTGAAAGGTAATACAACTCACTTAGCACCCTCACGTGCTCACAGAAATAGCTACCGCGGGGGAATCATAAATACATATACAAGTTATTACAAGGTTATTAAAAATTTGTCTTTTTAACACAGTTCAAAATGATCTTGAAGACCTGGAGGTTGGTTGGCGTAGAGGCACAGTGCTGCACATCGCACGGGAAATGTAGGACTAGACTAAGGTAACAATTATCCCTCTATAATCCCATCAGATTTTTACATTCCTTTAAACTTCTCAGATTCTTACCCCAAAAGCTTCCTATCTCCCACTACTTCACACCAAATCATACACGACAGCACCAATTCTTCCATCAGTCACACTATTCTCACTCACATTCAGCTCTACCAATGAAGACCTTTCAGATCCCCGTTTGTAACCATCTCGCTTCACTAACCAAGATCTTCTAATCACTTCTTCAGAAATCTTTTACTCCCCCACGGAGGCAGCTCCTTGCCCCCCCCAGTTCAGAAGCTCAATCCACCTCTCACAGCATATTTCTCCGACCCCCACATCGCGAAGCCCACTGTCCTCTCATCCCAGATTCCCACCCCTGGGGACACCTTTCACCTTGCAGAGGATTTGACAAACAGCAGCAGGGACAAAGGAGAAGACCAGTCACCGCTCAGAGTGCGTGAAGGAGACATCTCACCCTACCCCCCCAACAGTCATTTACATAAAGATTTGAAATGAGTCTCAGCTTGTTTCCTTCTCTTACCTAACGAGCGATAAGGAGGTTTCAAGCAATATCTTGACTTCCCAGTATACTTCCCAGTGTACCTTCTCCCATACAGAAATGCCTACAAGTGTTTTACTAACCCACTCCAGTTTGAAGCCATTATCCCCACCTCCAATGTCAATGCCATCATTAATGATAGCGCTGAAGGTCCCACCAGGTGCCTGTCTAAGTAACAAAATGGCAGTGTACCCTACCTTGGTCTGCCACAGCTTCAATATTCACTTTGAGCTCGTTTGCCATGAAGCCAATAACTGAGAAGATGACAAAGCCTGCAAATATACTTGTGGCACTGTTGGTACATGTGACTATCAATGTGTCCCTGAAAAGAAAAAACAAGAAGCCATGTCACCTTGTTGCAATACACGCAGGGAAGGTTTTGTACACATTTCAGGACTCTCTCACAAGCACACACGTCCTGTGGGAACGCTGATGAAGGTACACTTTTACACTGATCAGGTACGTATGATGTTGATCAGAGATGACAGAAGTCTTCACACCACCGCCAGTAATCAGCTGTGCAAGTTTCCATCACCCACGTGCCATATAAGAAGCCACAGGCAGGAGGATAAGCACTTCTGCTCTTGGCCTCTCCGAAGAAGGTAGCAATGATGACATGATTTGTAACGCAATGTTTTACTCTTCGCCTGATGTGGATATCTGCTCACGATATTACATATGGACTAACCACCACCATACAGGTAAGATGATCTTTGTCCTGTATCTTTCTTGTATTTATACACAAAATTTCAGGGTTAAGCTTGCTGTACCTTGCAGCACTCACTTAAACGCCTGTCCATCTGTAGAGGATTCCCTGGTACAATTTTCCGTTGGTGGTGGTGGTGTTAAGGGAATCTCAAGAAATCCATACCTGAGTGTCATACTATACTCAGTAAGTACATGTGACTTGACAGGAAACCAGCCCTCATGATCCCCATCCATAATTATTATATTCTTGATAGGATTTTTATTTTGTCTTCACGATATGTATGTCCAGAAGACTTCCCCTTAAACTACTGCAACTTAGGAACAAACAAGTCACTCACTTTAAGTGTTTGTTGGGTTTTTTAAGTTGGTTACAATTACTTATTCCTACTGCTATTTGTTTGTCAGGAACAGAAGGAAATACAACCTGAAAAGCTGTCAAGAACCTCACTGAGCTGGCAAACTTCTGGAATCTCTAACAGAGCATCTCTTAACAGGAATGATTAGATTAATTCTTCAGGTCTACAGAAAAAATGACCATGCTCTGTTTGGAATGATCACGTGTTAATCTTCTTGCAAAACCCAAATAAGTTTTAAGTAAAATATTTTTTGGTATACATTATGAAGTTAATTTATGTAAATTTACTGCAATTATAGATTATTTAATGATGTTTAAAATGAATATGTAACTGAAAACTACAATTTTATCTGCAGTATTAGGATGTAATGAATACAAAAATTGAAAGAGAAAATAGTCATGCTGCATTTCTGTACTCAAGATGTGTTGTAAAATTAAAAAGATTAGAAGTAACTAAGCTTTTCTAATTATTTCTGCTTCAGTCTCCCATATCCCTCTCTAACATAGGTAAAGCATGTATTTAGTATTAGATCTGCAAGATTTTTATACTTCGTTACCATATATTTCATTCAAAATTTCCATTAACATTCTCCAAACTCCACAAAACATTGCTAAATTAATGCAGAAGGATAGTGTGATGCTTCTGCCATTTTTTGCCCTGATATTCTGAGTGTATTCATTCATCAGCAAAAAAATCAAAGCCCAGGACAAGCATTTTCAAAAATAGGACCCGAAGGATAGCTGGGTGGGAGTTACTGAGTACGCAACACTGTTAGTTATTCATGCATATTTTAGGATAATTATATTAAATTACTTTTGAACACTAGTAGGAAATGTTTTCGAAATTCCTTTTTAAAATCCTGATCCACGTTTCTTTTTAAAGGTAAGTATTTTGTATACAGTAGTTAGCAGTTATAGGATCTGGGAGTTCAAATCCCAAGGAGCGTGGTGCTTTAAAGTCTTGATTCAGGAAAGATTTTAAGCATGCCCTTGGGACAGTCCCTGTACGTGCTGTTGGCTGTCCTCAATCAGCACCTCCGTCACTGCAGAAATCAGTAAAGGTTTGCTGCAGTAGAAATAAGATTGGCTTTAAAGACAATAAAATAGCAGTGAAGTGTTCTACTAATGCCACTTGCTTTTGTTTTTTCCATCTGCAGACATCTATCTGGCACGCTTTTCGATGAAAAACTGTACTATAGCACCAGAACAATGACTTTTTTCCTGGTAAAAATAACATTCACTGATTTCAAATAAAAGTGATTTTAAATTTCACAACCTGAAATAACTTTGTACGTGTAAAACTGCAATAAGAGTAATTGGAAAAAATAATAGCATTTAGGAGAGACAGGAATCACATATATAGAAATCGGGTGTTAAACTCATGCACGTCTCACAATGGCAAACTGCATCCCATTCCACACATGGGTGGTTCTTCAGCAGAGGCTGCCAACTGGCACCGTTTCATACCACTGCTCACAGCTGGTGACAGCTTCCCAGACTGCCTTTCCACCTAAACCTGCTGATTCTCAACATGAAGAGCCAATACAGACTATAATAAGCCTAAGGCTCATCTTGAGACTAGTAGATTAGGACCTGGGGAGTAGATACAATACACAAAACCAAGAAAGATTAAAGAAACAGAACAAACGAACAACCAAAACAAAAAAAAAAAACCACAAGAAAAGAGGGAGAAAAGAAGGAAAGAGGGAGAAAAGAAGGAAAGAGGGAGAAAAGAGGAGGGTCTTTCAAACCAGATTTCTGCAAGTTGGAAGATGACTGGTTTTAGAGAAGACCTGTTTACTGAGACCGATGGGTTTCACTCTCACATACCTGTAGCAATTATTATGGAATTTGTTGTAAGAAGAGAGAGTAATTAGACCTCCCCATGCTGCAGATAAGGAGAAGAAAATCTGAGTGGCAGCATCCTTCCAAACCTAAGATAGACAGGAGAGGAAATAGCATTGGCTTCAGGAAAGAGTATTAGAAAGATCAATAACACATTAAATGTTACTGTTAGAGGATTAACACATAAGTAGTTTAAATGAACTTTAGAGCAATGGATGTCAGTAAAACATTTAAAAGCAAAATCCTGTCCCGAAATACATAGTGCCCATTTGATGAGGAGTACTGTTCTTGTTGAGCCCATATAAAATGACAATATAACCTTTGCCGTATACGGAAGGCACAAATATTTTAACCGTATTGCTTGATACATTCAGTTCAACTACATTCAGCAAAGAATCATAGAATCAAGAGGAAAAATCTGCATCGGGTGCCGATGGTTTATCCACCAGCGGTCCTAAATAGTAATTTATCTTCATGATGAAAGTAAGAACCTCAGTTTGCTTGATGAATGAGATTACATTAAAATTAGGGTAAATTTCTGTCATTACGTGTACATCAAACAGTATAGTGTAAGTTAGGGTTATTTAGATACCAGAGCCCAGTTTACTCCCATCAGAAGAAAAGACATGTTCAACCAAGTCTCTCTTATTAAAAAAAAAAAAAACCACAACAACAAAAAAAAACCCAAAGAAACAAACAAACAAAAAAACCCCCCAAAACACCAACAAAACAGCATTGCTTATTCTGTAACAAAGTTCTTCAAAGCCTTAAATGCATTTAGATAAAACACTTCTAAATTGCCTGGAATTTCAAAGGAGGTGGTCTTACTTATCACTCGCAAAATGTTCGAAGCGTTGGTATTTCTATTCACAAGCTTTCCTACAAAGTCTGATTTTCCACCCAAGTCCAGAGTGCAGAAATGGAGATACATGTACATGCACAGATATAGAGGCGGACCTATACACACATTGATCAGTTTGAAGATATTACTGAAACACTACTTTAAAAGCTACCAGCCAGCAAGCAGTCAATCCTTCATCTAGCTGAGCGTAATATACAGCTCTTAATTAATATTAAAAAGGCAAATAAAAATAAAAACAGAAGCCTGAATATTATCGAACACTTACCCAAGGTTATACAGATACTTAGTGTATTCAGTCAGCCCCATTTTGCAAAAGGCAACAGTTCTCGCCTCCTTTATTGCACAATGTGGGATCCAAAAATGCTCATATTTAATGCAAAATTAATTTCTGTATTGTTTGCAAAAGATTTAATACTCCCATCGCCAAAGCATCAAAATACCCATTATTGCAGAGATATTGAGGAAATTGAGATGTGCACAATTCATCCAGGAAATTGTTTTCAGCTTTAATTATCAATCTATCAGTGTGATATCACACCACTATTGATAGAGGAAAAAATCTCTTAGGAAAAAAAAAAAAACAACAAAAACAAACAGTAAATTTCCTGAGGTGTTACTAGAAATCCCTCTTAAACTTCCGAGGAAAAGAGTCTGAATTGTAACTCTCAGATCAGGCTTCAGTTCAGTCTCCAGACTCCTGCTTCAAGACACTTAAGACCGACCAACACAGGCACTCGTGTGCCATGTCAGACAAATATATGATCCATGGGTGGATTTATATCTATTTTATTATGTGTATTTTTGGAATATGTTTTACCGGTTTCCTTGGCAACAAATGGCTTTTTAGAAATCAGTTGAAATCATGCGTGAGGCAGCAGAGCTGAAGCTCCATCTCACACAGTCAATGCTTAAAGAGCAAAGCCAGGTACCAAGTCCCTTAATTCTGTCCTCTCCTACACAGCAAGTAGCCTTGTTTCTTACGAGGTAGGTAGGATAATGATCACAGCTATTCTCTGTCAGTATATATGCTATTGGGGAGTTAGTTTATAGTTTAAGATGTATAATTTGATTTTGTTTAATCTAATGTCTCATATGCATTATGCAGAACGATCTTGGCTCAATGAGTAAAATACACCTATTCAGAGCATTTCTCAAGAAACGCAGATAGGTTTATTATGTTGCCTATTAAAAGCTTCATGTGCTTGTTCAAGTCAAGGCAGCATCCATCAGACACCAGTGTATGAAAATCTATACTTCCTTTTTAATTCCCTATTTTCCAAATGCAGCTACTCCAAGAGATTCAGGTGAAATATTAAATGTGAAGTAAATACCGTATCTATAATAATATATGGAAAAAAAAGTTATGTGCACACAAATAAACATCCATTGCAACAACACTCCATGTAAGATGAAGAACACGTTTCTACAGACGACAATGTTGCCTCTGCACATAGAAAATGCTTGCAAGAGACATTAAGAATCTGTATGAATTATTCACCCTAGCAGAGTTTTAAGTGCAATAATAAGCCCACCATAGCATCAATTAGCTTCTCCCACTTTGGTGTGATGAAATACCAGATTCCAGCTCCCGCTCCAGGTAGAGTTACTCCTCTTATCAGAAGGATGATGAGAACTACATAGGGGAACGTAGCTGTAAAGTACACCACCTGGACAGATCAAAAAAAAAGATTATTGAAAGCGCTTATTTGGTTGTATAAGAAGCAGGGGGGGGAAATACAAGTGCTACCCTATCACCTGAAGAAAGCAATTACTCAGGCTCAGAGACAACAAGGTTATTTCCCATGAAATCTGAAATTTTACAGATCTTCTTGCTGCTGGAAACAGGACTAATATCAATAGCAACAGAGGTAATAGCTGGGGTTCTAGACAGAGAGGGGAAGAAAAAGCAAAAAAGAAAGTCTGGAGAGGAACAATAGGAATTTATAGCTAAATGAAAATACCACTTTTGATCCTTGCTCAGAGTAAACTACCACAGCTCAATGGAAACGGAATGAGCAATGCCATTCAACACCAATTCAAGTTCTGATTTTTTCTATATATTTCTCTGTATTTAACTAAGCTTAAAGATTTTTTATTACTCTTTGTACCTCTTAATAATTACATAACACCATGAAAATATTTATGGTCCCAATGCAAAAAAAAAAAAACAACCCACAAACCACCAACAAAACAATCAGTCAGTGGAACAATCCAGATAGACCTAATCATCATTATGTCTAAATACACAACAAAGGTTGTGTGTTTAATGTCTTAATAATTATCCAGCACAGAGCAGAGCTCTCTCTGTGGTCAAATAAAATGGCTAAATTATAACCAGTTAAGCTGTACACTCTACCCAAAAGCATTTCAAATCCTTTTACACTTTAACCGCTGAATCTTACAGGGACCAGAGTCGTCTGAGCTGATTTTTGAAACTGCTTTCCCAACTCTCTCCTTGCTGTTTCAAGAGGCGTTTCACGAAGCTGCCCCAATGAATTTTTGTGCTGTGGATATACTGAACTCATCTATGCATAAATACAGGTTTTCTATCTCCAACACCAAGGAGTGACTATTTTTCTGGGCCACAAAGTCTCACTTAAAAAAAAAAAATCTATTGCCACATTCAAACCCAATTTATTCTTCTCTACAACTTCTGTTTCTTGGCTCTGGCCTTTAATGAAACAGTTTTTCCTACCACACTAAAGTAGGGAAAAAAAAAAAGTCTCAACTTTCCCCTGGCCCTCTGAGTCTCTGGACTTTCTGATAATTCCCAAGCTACCTCACAACAGATGTTGTCAGCTTCTAGACGCAAAGAGATGGCTTGGAATCAGAAACCCTGTGCCCAGCTCTAGAAAATTCATCGTTATCTCGCATATCCACTATCTTTATCCCAGGAAATACCTAGTTATTTTGTTCCAGCTTTTTTATCTTTTCAGCCTACTCTTTGTAAATAAGCTGGATTTAGAATTATAGAATAGAACAATTTGGGTTGGAAGAGACCTTTAAAGGTCATCTAGTCCAAGCCCCCTGCCATGGGCAGGGACATCTTCAACTAGATCAGGTTGCCCAGAGCCCCGTCCAACCTGACCTTGAATGTTTCCAGGGATGGGGCACCTACCACCCTTCTGGGCAACCTGCTCCGGTGTTTCACCTCATCGTAAAACATTTCTTCCCTATATCTAGTCTGAATCTCCCCTCTTTTAGTTTAAAACCATTCCCCCTTGTCCTGTCACAACAGGCCCTGCTAAAAAGTCTGTCCCATCTTTGTTATAAGTCCCCTTTAAGTACTGAAAGGCCGCGATAAATTGTCCCCAGAGCCTTCTCTTCTCCAGGCTGAATAACCCCAACTCTCTCAGCCTTTCTTCATAGGAGAAGGAAGGCTTTCTTCATTTATGCTATATCATCATCCAGCATTTTAATCTGCGTGCTAATTGCAGTGGCATTG